AAAAAGAAAGAAAGAAAGAAAGAAAGAAAAGAAAAGAAACAACAGTCGATTGCGCACAAGAGCAACGAGAGAAAACGCAGGCGTAACGAGGAGGTAAGAGTCTGAGATCTCAGTTTGATTCGTCGGGGACGGGAACGCGTGACGAGAAATCAGTAACGCGTCTGGGTGGAAGCAAAAATTCACCGCCGCAAAACCACCGCGCATTTCTATTCTTAGACGATCGAAAGAGAAAGGGAGCCGGGAGAGAACAGGAGAGGAGAGGAGAGGAAAAGGGAATCGAATGGAGACGGGAAAGGCCGGTGTTAACAAGATAGAAGGGACGCCACGGTGTCGCGCAGTGAGTACAAGGGGTTATTCGGCGTGAACAGAGCCGGAAAAATTTTTGAGCCCGTTCCAAATTTCTAATGCTGCGTGGATGACCTTTAGACCGCGTTCGTCATGCAGTGAGTCAATTGGCTTCTCGAGCCCGAATTACAGCGACCAGCAAAACTTCAACACGCACACGTGCAGTCTCAACGCAAATAATATTTTATTAAGTTTCTACACGTTGAATAATAATAATACGTAGAATGTTTTGCTTTTCCCCCAGAAAGATTTATCACCATCATTCCAGTAGGTACATTTTGGAAAAAAATCAACTCGGGACAAAGTCAAAGTAAAATGACACCGAGTGGATGTTGTATATATTTCTTATTTTACAAAATGACTAGATTGCAGATTCTTATGCATTTGTGGGAAATTTAAAGATACAAAACCGTACAAAATGCATTTAATACGAGAAAATACAATGTTTTTTTATAATACTTGGTAAACAATTTTCTATCCAGATTCGATTTTTTTAATTGTATTTTCAAAAGTATGATTTTTTGCATAAAAATCCGCAGCCTAGTTACAACAGTTCAAAATCAAGTATCGACAATTTCTCTCATCATTGTATGTTCAGTTGTGCTCCTCGCATATTCACTCGATCGACACGTTCAGATACATTTTACTCGGAAACTTTTACGCGCGGCTTTCCCATGCGAATCGTATCTAGATTCAAATCGCGACAAGATCGAGACTGCGGTATAATGATTTCATTTCGAAAAAAAAAAGAAGTCGCGTGTATAATTTCTGATAACGTAACTTTGGATAAGCGGGGAAAGCTCGCGGGGCCGGTATTCGAGCTTTTAGCTCGAGGTTCTATGGTTAATCGTTGGCGGCAGCATCGACAGAGAAACTCGCCACCAGAATTATTCTTGCGCCAGGCGGGAAGGAAGAAAAGGTGGGTTACCAACCGAGAGATCTGAACGAGGTGATTCAACCGAACTCGCGCGCACAGATGGAGAGAGACGTTCTTTCGTCCGCCAAGGCTGGAAACTCCTGGCTGGGCTCCCGTTTACGACCGACGTATCAATTGGCGTTAACGATGGAAAATGCCGGGGTGCTAATTCAGCTCGAACTCTTTCCTTGAGACACCTTCTCTTTCGAAACGCTTCCTTTATGCGCATTCTGGACGTCACACCTCCGACGAGACGGCGGAATATAACGTGTCTCCGAAGCAAACAGCACGCGATTGTTCGTTTTTGTCAAACAGAGCGGTAAATTCAGTTCAGGTGGAAGTGCAACGACACCGGGGCGACAAATATCGTCGGTTCCGTTATCAACCTATAATAAATCGTTAATTGTCCGGCATTCGAAATCGACATTTTCCGTATTAC